AAGGATGAGAAGGTGTATTGAATCTGGAGTAAATCTCAATAAGCTGTAGCACAATTAACAAAAACACAGACACAGATATTGGGGTTCAACCTGAAGACCAGGAAAGCAAAGCAGCCAGCCACTGCCTCTTACCTCTACCACAGTCCAAATAGGGCTATCCTGCCTCCAGGAATCCTCAGAATGAGAAGGACTGAGAGCTGTCTCCTCCTGTCTTATATTCCTCTCAAGGCTGGGATTAAAGGCGTGTACCACTACTGCCCAGTTTCTATGAGGAACTATAGTGGCTACTTGGATTAAAGGTGTGTGATGCCACAGTCTGGTCGGTGAGGCTGACCAGGGTGTTTGTTTTACTCTCTGATCTTCAGGCAAGCTTGATTTACTAAAACACAAATGAAATATCACTACAATAAGCAGTCTGACAGTGTGACTGCCTAGATCTAGTGCCCACCAGGGTAGCACACGCTCCTCTGCGATCTCAGCAATACTGCCTCAGACCAACATCTGAACCCATTCTACTCACCACAATGGGGAAATCATTGCTTTCCAAGTTCACCTTAACTTGGCATAAAACGTGTATCTATAAATGTCAGAAATCAGAGGCAGAGTAGGCTGCCTCGGATGGACGGTTCATCTAGCTCATCCTTATTACAGTCCTTACAGGTCACTCTGCAAGACCTTGGGGCCCTGAAGGAACAGATCCTCTCGCCCAAGGCTGTGGGCATGGAACTGAGAGCTGCTGGGTTCCAGACTAGAAAGGGTGGTCTCAAGTTCTAAGAGGAAGTAAAATGAAAAACCAACCATTAGCGAGACTGTGATGTGCATAAAACCAGGTCCTGGACCATCCTTGAAAGGACGCACAGGCATGGTTTGTATGTGCCCATGCACAGGTGCTCCACACTGAGGACCTGTTTCTGTCCTCAAATGCAATGAGTGATGTAATGGGGAATGTAGTGGTACCTGTCCTGGAACTAGCTCACGTAGACCAGGCTCTCCTTGAACTCACATAGATCCACCTGTCTCTGCCCCCCTCTTGAGTGCTGGTTTCAAAGGCAAGGCATGCACCACCACCGCCCAGCCCTGCTTACTATGTTCTAAAAAACTTCGTGTTTCCTGGCTGTCGATGGAAAATCCAAAGGCCAAGTAAGCCAAGGTCAGGGCTCAAGGGAGCCCTTACTTATTCCTTAGGCCATGTGAGACCTGTCTTCAAAATTAATAAAGTAAAAAAGAGCCAGGTGTGTTTTGCATGCAAGCTAGTAATCTAAACTCTTAGAAGGTAGAGTCACGAGGGTCAGAATTTCAAGGCCAGTTCCCTATTCAGGGAGCAGAGGCAGGTTGTCTCAATAAGTTCAAGGCCAGCCTACACAGGGAGTTCTAATCCAGCTAGAAGTGTAGAGAGACCTTGTCTCAATTACAAAAAGAAATAGAGCAGGAAGAGGTGAGGTGACTTAGTGAGGGAAGGTGTTTGCAGCCAAGCCTGACAACCTCGGTTCATCCCCCAGGACCCACATGGTGGAAGAAGAGACCCAACTCTAGCAATTGTCCTTTGGCCTCCATAAGGGCATACAGAACACAGTAATTTAGTTTATTTTAAAATTATTTATTTATATATTTTTGATTTAATTATTGGGTTTTTCGAGAGAGGGTTTCTCTGTAGGTTTGGAACCTGTCATGGAACTAGCTCTTGTAGACCGGGCTGACTTCAAACTCACAGAGATCTACCTTCCTCTGCCTCCTGAGTGCTAGGATCAAAGGCGTGAGTGACCACTGCCTGGCGCTGTCTGCTATGTTCTTAAAACTGTGTTTCCTGGTTGTCTCCAGAAAATACAAAGGCCAAGTAATCCAAGGTCACAGCTCAAGGGAGCCCTCCCTTATTCCTTAGACTCTTTCTGAGTAGGTGCTCAAGATAAGGACAGGACAGTGAGGTGGGGGTAAAGGCACTGTGTGCCACACCAGCATACCAACCTGAGTTTGATTTCTCGGACCCATGTAAAGGAGAGAGAGCAAAATCCATGAAATTGGCCTCTGAGTCCCATCGGTGCATTCATATATACACAGTAATAATTTCTGTCAACTTGACAGTAAACTATTGTCACCTGGGATAGGAAACCACAATTGTGGAATTGCCTAAATCAGATGGGACCTGCTGGGCTGTGGTGGCACACACCTTTAATCCCAGCTCTCGGGAGGCAGAGGCAGGCAGATCTCTGTGAGTTCCAGACCAGCCTGGTGTACAAAATCTAGTTCCAGGACAGGCTCCAAAGCTATGGAAAATCCCTGCCTTGGCAAAATAAAAAACAAAAATGGTTTGCCTCTGGGGATTTTGTGGGATTTTTTTTTTAATGTGGGGAGGGTCATTGATTTAGACGGAACCTGTCCAATGTACACAGTACTGTTCCTAGGCAGCAGCTGGTCCTGTGCTGTTTTAAATTCACTTACCCCAAGTTGCTTTCAGTCACAAGATAACACAGAAAGGAGAAGCAAAGCAGACACCAGGCAAGCACTCTACCAAGAGCTACACCTCCAGCCCTGAGGCAGCTCTTAAACCTAATATTTATTAATAGTGGGAGCTATGGAGATAGATCAGCCACAAGTGCTCTTGTGAGGAAATAAATTAGGTTCATGGAGCCTCTATTAAAGAAGTCAGGCCGGACAGACCATGCTTATGAAACCAGCCCTGGAGAGGCAGATTCTGAGAGCTTGAAGCCACACCCACATGTCAAATTCCAGATCAATAACGGATTCTGCCTCAAAGAGTAAGGAACTGCAGAGATGGTGGAGATAGAGAGAAAGTGAAAGACTCTAAATGCATTTCTAAGCCCCTCAACCCTAAGACATTTTTTTAAAACCTTACACTCACTCTCCCTTGGAAATGGGACAGTCGCCACACACATACTGGACTGCTCATCCTTTTGTGTCCTTGTGAATAATCTTCAAACATAACTCCATTCTGGGAATTGAGGCAAAGACAACCTACAGGTGTCACCTCAGTTCCTGATGTATTGACATAGTCACTGGACAAAGGTCAGGAAAACCACAGAGATGCTCTCTCTCTCTCTCTTCTTTTTTTTCCAGACAGGGTTTCTCCGTAGCTTTAGAGCCTGGCCTGGAACTAGCTCTCGTAGACTGGGCTGGCCTCGAACTCCCAGAGATCTGCCTGCCTCTGCCTCCAGAGTGCTGGGATTAAAGGCATGCGCCACCATGGCCTGGCTAGAGGTGCTCTCTTATCCTACCCGATCACCTGGCTATTCTCCGGCTCTGGAATAGACCAATCACTGCTAGTAACCCTTTGAATAAGCCAATCCAATAAGTTGGAAAACAACCTGCAGGTTCCCCCCTTTTGTCTGTGGCTTTTTGCTTTAAAAGATGGGCTGTAACAGCTATCAGATGTCTTTCATATCCCGAACCTAAAGGGCCCTGCCATTACAGAATAAAATCCTCTTACTTTTGCATCAATTGAGGCTTTGTGAATGGTGTCTGGAGCAACTCCTCCCTGATGTTTGGAATTCTAGTCCAACAACAGTCTCTCATCAGAGCAACAGACTGAGCTCCCAAGGTCCAATTGAAGAGCAGAAGGAGGGAGAAGATGAGCAAGGAAATCTGGACCGTGAGGGGTTGGTCCACCCACTGAGACAGTGTGTCTGTTCTCATGGGAGCTCACCAAATCCAGCTGGACCGGGACTGAATGAGCATGCGGCGACCAAACCAGACTCTCTGAATGTGGCTGAAATGGGGGGTGGGGGGGATGGTTGAGAAGTCATTGATAAAGAACCTTCATCTGGCGATGGATGGAGATAGAGACAGAGACCCACATGGGAGCTCCCAAGAACCAGATGAAGAGCAGAAGGAGGGAGAACATGAGCAAGGAAGTCAGACCATAAGGCTTTTTACTATGTTAAGTAATATAAGAAATACTGTGTATATTTTCTTTGCTACCCCTTTTAAGACATGTTCTCCTGTACTACTGGACTGGCATTAAATGTGCTCTGGAACTGGATCACTTTGAGTTCAAGAAGAGCCTGGTCTACAAGAGCTAGTTCCAGGACAGGTTCCACCTCATTCCCCTTTACATTCCTCATTGCATTTGAGGACAGAAACAGGTACACAGTGAGAAGCACCTGTCCATGGGCACATACAAACCAGGCCTGTGTGTCCTTTCCAGGATGGTCCAGGACATGGTTTTATGCACATCACAGTCTCGCTAATGGTTGGTTTGTCATTTTACTTCCTCTTAGAACTTCAGAACACCCTTTCTAGTCTGGAACCCAGCAGCTCTCAGTTCCATGCCCACAGCCTTGGGCGAGAGGATCTGTTCTTTCAGGGCCCGAAGGTCTTGTGGAGTGACCTGTAAGGACTGTAATAAGGATGAGCTAGATGAACCATCCACCCAAGGCAGCCTACTCTGCTCTGATTTCTGACATTAATACATACACGTTTGACTCCACGTTCAGGTGACCTTGGAAAGCAATGATTTCCCTGTTATGGTGAGTAGAATGGGTTCAGATGCTGGTCTGAGGCAGTATTGATGAGATGGCAGAGGAGCCTGTGCTACCCTGGTGGGCACTAGATCTAGGCAGTCACACTGTCAGACTGCTTATTGTAGTGATATTTTATTTGTGTTTTAGTAAATCATGCTTGCCTGAAGATCAGAGTGTAAAACAAACACCCTGGTCAGCCTCACCGACCAGACTGTGGCATCACACACCTTTAATCCAAGTAGCCAAACTAGTTTGTCATAGACACTGGGCGGGTTTGATACATGCCCTTAATCCCCGCCCTAGAGAGGTTATAAAAGACAGGAGGAGACAGCTCTCAGCCAGTCTCATTCTGAGGATTCCTGGAGGCAGGATCGCCGCCATACTCGGACTGAAGGAGTCTCACACATTTCAAATAGTATATATTGTCATTTTAAAATAAATCATTTTTGCTCTTCCTCGCTTGTTTTCCGCATAGGTGGGTTGCGGCCGAGAGCGCAAAGAAACCAAAAGGCGAACGCGCCGCTCCCTGCCGCTCTGCTCCGGGAAGCTGTACCTCGCCAGCCCACAGACTGAACAGAACTCTTTTAGTACAGCAAGCATCTGTTGGAGGAGAAACTCCCAAGGAATCAAAGATGAGTAAGAGCAAAGACGATGCGCCTCATGAACTGGAGAGCCAGTTTATCTTACGATTGCCCCCAGAATATGCCTCAACTGTGAGGAGGGCGGTGCGGTCTGGACACATCAACCTGAAGGACAGACTGACCATTGAGTTACACCCTGACGGGCGGCATGGAATTGTCAGGGTGGATCGAGTGCCCTTGGCCGCAAAATTGGTAGATTTGCCTTGTGTTGTGGAAAGCTTGAAAACCATCGACAAAAAAACCTTTTACAAGACAGCTGATATCTGTCAGATGCTTGTATCCACAGTAGATGGTGACTTATACCCTCCTGTGGAGGAGCCGGTTGCCGCCGCTGATCCCCAAGAAAGCAAGGAAAAAGATGAGGACAAAGAGAAAACGTTTGTTTGGAACCATGGAATCACTCTACCTCTAAAAAATGTCAGAAAGAGAAGGTTCCGGAAGACAGCAAAGAAGAAGTATATTGAGTCTCCCGATGTGGAAGAAGAAGTGAAGCGGTTGCTGAGTACCGATGCTAAAGCTCTCAGCACTCGTTGGGAGATAATTGCTGAAGATGAAACAGAGGAGACCGAAAATCAAGGCCTCGATATCTCCTCTCCAGGAATGTCTGGCCACAGGCAGGTCCATGACTCATTAGAACTCGATGAGCTTCGAGAGATATTCAATGACCTCAGCAGCAGCAGTGAAGATGAGGAAGATGTCAACATCATTGACACCGAGGAAGATCTGGAGAGGCAGCTACAAGACAAGCTCAATGAGTCAGATGAACGGCACCAAGAAAATGAAGGAACCAACCAATTGGTTATGAGAATTCAGAAACAGATTGATTACATGAAAGGCAAGCTCCAGGGGACCCGAGACAGGGCAAAGCGCCAGGAGGATCTCATCATGGAAGTAGAAAACTTGGTTCTCAAGAACAGGTTTCAGGCTGTTCTGGATGAACTCAAACAGAAAGAAGACAGGGAGAAGGTGCAGCTTAGTTCTTTGCAGGAAGAACTAGAATTACTCCTAGAGAAGTGAGAATGTTGATTTCTGTTCTTTGACTGGTCAGCTTGAGAAAATATTTATTTTCATAATACGATCTCAGAATTATTCTCTATAGTGTTAGGAGTTTTGTTGAATTTTGTTGGCTGTTTTTAGAAATGTTAGCAAGGTTTTCATTCTTTAGGAAGTATGGTTACATGGGCAGGTGTAGGTGTAAGATCAGTGAACAGTTGAACTTTCATTGTTCACCATAGGACATTATTACATTTGTCTCTTTTCCAGAAGTTTTTATTTCTATTCTGTGATGCTAAGATCAGTAAGAAGCTAGCCTATGGGCAGTGAATTTATTTTTATTTTTTTAATGTATGTATACAGTAGCTATTTTATTAGCTACCCAGCAAGTTTCCATGTATAGAAATGTAAGTTTTTGCACAAGTTGTTTCTTGCACAATAAAAGTTCCCAGTGTTTTTTTGGTACATTTATTTATTCATTTACTTTTGTAGGGGGCCCCAGTTTTTGCATTATAAAAAAAAAAACAAAAAAATCATTTTCAGATTTAAAAACTCAAGAGTGGGACTTGATTGGGGGAGGGAGAGGGAAGGGGAGGCAGCTGTGGGGAAGAGACAGAAATCTTTAATTAATAAATAAAACAAAACTAAAAAAAAATAAATTAAAAAAAAAACTCAAGAGTGGCAGCTGGGCATGGTGGCACATGTCTAGACACAGAGGCGGGTAGATTTCTGTGATATCAAGATCAACCTGGTCTATTGTAATTGTAAAAATAAAACACTGCACTGTTCCCTGAGGGTTGGCCTTCGAAGCCCTGCACATAGAGCCCTTTTCCAGCTCTCCATAGCTTCCATATGCGATGAAGCCACAGCATTCTGGAGACAGTGACGATTAACAAGCTATGTAGTGAGGGCCCCAGGCCCACCCACCACCCCCAGAGACACATTCCATTAATAAAGATTTGGCTGGCAAAAAGAAAACACAAAAAAACAGGATCTCATTATGTGTCCTTGGTTGTTCTTGGAACTCACAATGTAGATCAGGCTGGTCTCAAATGCAGGTAGATCTCTTCCTGCCTCTGTCTCTTGAGTGCTGGATTAAGGATACGTGCGGACGTGCCTACCACGAGATGCCCGACACGATACCACAATACGATTATGGGATGTGGTGTCTAGAAAGACAAGAGTGACATTTGCGAATTATAAGAAATCTGTCATGGCTGTGGTCTTACACCCACGACATTACACATTTGCATCTAGGTCTCCAGATAACATAAAGCAGTGGAGGTTCCCTGACGGAGGCTTCCTTCAGAATCTCTCCGGTCACAACGCCATCATCAACACGCTGGCAGTCAATGCCGACGGAGTACTGGTGTCTGGAGCTGACAATGGCACCATGCACCTTTGGGACTGGTGAACTGGCTACAATTTTCAGCGGGTCCATGCTGCTGTCCAGCCTGGGTCTTTGAACAGTGACTCGGGAATATTTGCTTGTGCTTTTGATCAGTCAAAAAGCCGGTTGCTAACAGCAGAAGCTGATAAAACCATCAAAGTTTACAGAGAGGACAAGAACGAGACAGAAGAAACTCACCCAGTCAGCTGGAAACCAGAGATTATCAAGAGGATAATCTGAGTAAATTGGGAGCATGGGGACCTTGGGGGATGGTTGAAGGGAGGAGGGGAGAGGCCAGGAGTGGAGCAGAGAAAAATGTAGAGCTCAACAA